TAATTTTTGTAATTTGTTCTGAAAAGTTACTAGTAACTAAAGTTATAAAATAAATGTAGTGGAGTAAAAGGTACAATATTTGCTTTTAAAATGTAGTGAAGTCAAAATATGGGGCAGCAGAAAATCAAAATACTCAAGTAAAGTGCAGATACCTTAAAATTGTACTTAAGTATAGTACTTGAGTAAATGTACTTAGTTACTTCCACCACTGGTCATTTGTTGTGGTCATTTTGCAGCTGCCTTCAAACACAGACTTCCCTGGGCCCAAAGCGAGCCCCTGTGCCTTTATCCAGGAGCCTCTTTTTGTAATCCTCTCATGTATCCAGCTCCTGCTGTCTGTTTTCTCCCTGCTTCCCCCTGCTTTGATTAGCTGCCATTAGGAAGCCCCTCCAAGTCGCTCAGCTACCCAACGCATTTACAAGTCATAAATTGCAGTCAACAATCATGCACCAGGCCCAGACTCTTGCCCATTTGGAAATTGTCACAAAGAAGCTGCAAATTCAAACAAGGTACCACAGGGAGGGGATGCAACTATGTCTTTTGTCAAGATTGACAGAATCAGTCCAAACAGTTTGGCTGGAGAGAATGTGGCTGCCACAGTCAGACACAACAAAACAACAGACAACATTTATTAGGGGTGAAGAGGGAGACTGCAGCTAAGTGGGTTTAAGGGATGTGATAGGAGGCAAATGCACTAAATTGCATATCACCTTGGATCTGCTATTGTCTGATACAGGAAATAGTGTTTCTATTTTAGGACACTGGAACATTATTTCAAAGTAGAAGGAGATCAATTTAAGCCTGCTGTGTAGTGCAATGAGAGAGCGAGGACCTCTCAGTGAATTTGTATTACTTACATCATGGGGACCGAAACCTGCTAACAGACTCACATTGTGGGGACTCGGCCATCCTTGTGGGGACCAGCCTCACTGAATTTTAGGGTGGCAACATGGTAAAGGTTAGGCGTTATGGTTAGGGTTAGGCAAGTAGTGGTTATGGTTAAGGTTAGGATAAGTCTACAGGACATGAATGTAAGTCAATGTAAAGTCCCTACAAGGAATGTAAACACAGCATGTGTGAAAGGGTGTGTGTGTGTGTGTCCTCAGATTATTGAAGACTGCTATCACACTCCTCAGCCATATTTCACCAGTAAATCTTGTGATCAGTGCTTTTTGGTTTCCTGCTCCAGGCTTAAAGTTGTTAGGTTTGTACTTTACATCTTTCTTTCACCTTTTATTATGAAATACTTATGTTTATTTGCAAATACCCCCGAAAATGACAGATACAATACAGATAATTCACATGTTTAGCATACACGTATCCCAGCCCCCTCCCCATGGTGGCTGGTATCCCTCTTAAATGACGGTGATGTAAATCATGTGCTATGACTTTCTGTTAGTGATGAAATGACATTTGTTTTTAAAGTGATTCGCCTTTCTATATCTAACGTACAGTACAATTAGCATTACAGACTATGTATTTTATTGGCTGTGGAGCTATAGCTTATTTTTATATTTCAGATCACTCAAACAAATGTTCTGGAGCACAAAACTGTTTAAAGCAGAACATCTATCTGACTTTTAGAAACAGTACTTGTACTGAATGGAATGAAAAATTCAGCAGGTAAAATATTATATGCATGAGAATGTATGAGTAATGACTTTTTGCATAGCCACAAAATTTATATACAGTACAGTATAAATCCCCTCTGACGGCAGCAGTGTGCTTGAACATGTGGAAAATACCTTTTTAAAATGGAAACAGTGCTCGGCCAAATAGAACAGTGAGTATGTATTGTCGTGGGTCATTAGGCAAACACATTTTACAAAATGCTGAACAACAAAGATAAAAGCACATACTCATTATTCAAAAATATAAAGGGCAGCACAGTAATGAAAAGACTAAAAAGTGTCAGAGTAAAATAAACACTCGCTGTGTGAAGTGAGGGAAAACTAGCAGAGTGTAAAATACTGGAAAATTAAGATGAAATTACTTTAAAAAAAAGTAATTGTAAGCCAAAAAAAAAATGTAAAAGCCTGAGCTTTTTTGACAACACTTTAAAAAGGTTAAGGTGGGTTCTTTGGTCTCCTTTAGCCTAATGCCTAACACTTCTGCTGTGGGTTTAAAAGCATGAAATGATAAGAGGGATCAGAGTTAAAAATCTAGATACCGCTCATGTATTATATTCAGAGGTGTTCCTAATATTCTGACCCTTTCATGTATGTAGCTGGGGAGGATACAAATATAGAGACACCTCTGAATATAATGTAGTCCAGTACAACACCACCTTTAACTATGACCTCAGTAATAAACATATTATAGCATTTTTATATTTATGACAAACTGAAACATTTTGAGCTTCATAAACACAGATGTTAAGGTGGCAGTGCTGCACTGAAGTGCATACAATTGTACAGGTGTACCTAATAAAGTGGCCACTGAGTGTATAAACATTTAACTCACTTACTAACTAACAGGTAAGAACTGCATACATTTTTATAATAAATAAAAAAAAAAAAACTTGTCTATAGTATCACCACAAGTTTGAGAATAGAACTATTACATTTTGTAGAGCTATTCATGTTCCCCTCAGGATACACCACTAGTCAAAGACATGAACACACTTTCCCATTTAAATGAATGGGAAGATGTGTCCAGACTTTTGAGTAGTAGTGTACATTGCAATCATTTTTGAGATTCTTTGACTTTTCCTCTACATCATCTTCAGGTTCAAATTCTTACTTTTCCCCAAACCTTACACCTGTAGTCTGCGTTGCTACTTTGTGCTAATTTAATATGTTAGCATGCTAATGTGCTAAATTAAGATGGAGACCATGTTAAACAGAACCCACTAAGCATCAACATGTTAACACTGTCATTATGTGAGTATGTTAGCACATTGACATTAACATTGTATGTACAGCCTCACAAAGCTGCTAGCACAAGTTTTATGAAACTCACTTCAAAGCAGGAGAACAAGCCCTTGTAATTGGAAGAATTTGGCAGGTTGCCATAGTAACCATTTTGGGAGCACTAGTCTGTCATTTACCTCCCCCATGTCCACTGGATTTTCTAGTTCCTGGTCCTGCATTCGATGCTCAAAACCTTCCAATCATCAGCTGGTATATCCAGTCAACCATCAGTACTCCAACATCCACAACTACTGCTGCTGTCGCTGGAATCATTATTGTATCCACTTCACCCCACAACATGCCAAGCTCCCGACAGACACTCTGCCTGGCACAGATTACTATAGTGTACCTCTAATTTTGTTTGTTGAGTGTCACAAACCATCAAGATGTTACTTCCAGGTCTGAGCCAGACAGTGGGACATAATTATTGTGTTCTTTGGGACGTCACCCAGCTCCCGAGCAGAAGCGGGCTCAGTCAGCCTCACTGACTCCTATCACCCAAACAGCTCCTGCTCATCTCACACTCTAAAGGAAATGTGTGTATGTGTATGCAGGTATGTGTGTGTCTTGTACATTTGCTGTGGGAGATGGGCAGACAGGTAGGAAGGGATAGCATAATGATTTTGTTTACAACGCTGGAAAAAGTGTATATTTGTCTCTCTCACACTGTCTATGTGTATATGTGTGGATGTGTGTGTGTGTGGATGTCAGACAAGACAAACCAAAGCATTTATTCCCTATAGCAGAGTGTGTGTCATATCCAGGTGAGTGTGACAGATCGGGAGCTTCACTAAAGTGACAGCCAAGGCCATCTTGTTTGTATTATTCATGAGAACCGGGGATGTCTTGTTGGCACGCTGCTTTGGCACAGCAAAGACAGCACAGCAGCAAAATAATGGGATGCTGTAACTCACTGCTGTCTCATCAGCATCGCAGTCTTATAGCAGCATCTAGTGCTCACTGTATGAAAACTAAATGCTTGGGAGAAGAACAGCCATAGATTCTTAATTTTTTTAAGGTCATGTCATGCACTCTGTCTCAAATTATCTTAGTTCATATACCTTATATTGTTTGTTTATCTGATCCTAACATTTATGAAATCTCTCTGTTACTGAAATCTCTGCACAAATTTCATAATAAACTTGAGAGATTAGGAATTTGAAAATTGGAAAAAAATTCAGTACCACTTTAGAGTGTTATTATGCTGCATGAATCAGGTGACAGTAAAATACTTACAGGTTCCTACTGTTACTATGTACAGTGGAAGCAAAATATTTATACTGTGAGTTTAGATGGTTTCTGTCAGTATTACTAAGAGATTTTGCATATGTACCCTTGACATTCATTAACATATAAGGTGCTTGTGGACAGTGGTTCAACTCAATAAAAAGAACTATTTTGTTGTAAAATTAGATTTTGCACTAATGTGAAGTTTAAATCTGCACCAATCAATACACTAATAAAACGACTATGTAAAATAAATGATGTGAAATCATGTGAAATGTGTCACATAGTCATAAACCCAAAGAGTATTATCACTGAGCTCCAGGGTTCCTCTCAGCTCCATTAAGTATTTTAGGTGTTTTAGTGTTTTTCAGTAATGTATGATGTCTTGTGTTTACAGCTATTCCCACTGCAGGCAGGCAAAAAGTTGGTTAGCTTGTGAGGCTGTAGTTTGCTGGACTGTATGGTGTGATCCCTACAGAGCCCAAATTGCAACATCATGCCAGTCTGACTGCATGAGGAGACAGCCTTGGTACTGTGCTATATATCCATGGACATATTATGAGACAATAGGGACAGACAGGTTAATGGCCCAAAGAACACTCATCTTTTTGTAGTGTTTTTGTATTTCTTTGTGATTGGTATGCCTTTTTTATTGTAATTTTACCATTTACTCTAATTTTAAAATGTATTTTACATGGTTTATCAAAATTAAACGTAAATTATACAGCATCCTACTTTTAGGTCTCACATCTTGGAAGTGTGAAGTCACAGGAAAGTAATGCACACTCAAAAAGCAAGGTTCACGTTGTAATCTTGTTGTTTCCGATGGTCTTTGAAAGCATCACCCTTGACAACTTGTTGCACAGCCAGAGAAACGCCTCCTCTTCCTCCTCCTCTTTCTGTCTGTGTATTAATGTGAATCTCTGCCACAGCTCAGTCACTTACTGCTAGCTGCTAGTCATACAAGGTACATGGCTTCTCAGCGGGTCATTGTTTACGGCGGAAGAGGAGCTTTGGGCTCAAAGTGTGTTCAGCATTTCAAATCCAATGGTTGGGTGAGTGCTAGCAGTCTGCTAACAGTGTGCACTGCTAAACAAATTGTGTACCTCAAATCATTACGCCACGTGTACTTCTGTCTCTGTGAAATTATTAGTGGGTCGCTAGCATCGACATGGCTGCAAACGAGGAGGCAAATGAAAACGTGATTGTGAAGATGAGCGAATCTTTCACCGAGCAGGCGGGACAGGTGAGCTACAGGTGACAGATGGCAATATGCGGCACTGTCATGTTGCTTGGCCTCACAAACAGTTCGCTAACAGACTGCAGAAATGCTGTTACGACCAGCAGCTGAAGTGTAACTATGGGTGAAATTCGTGTGGCCGAAAATGTGGTTGTTTTTTTTTTTTTTTTTTGCCATAACGTTTTGTTTTGCTAGGAAATGTGTAAGCTAATGCCGCGTTCACGTTACAATGGGAAAGAAAAGTAGGATTAGTGCGTTTCACAAGTAGCACTGATATTGTAAATGTAGGTCTGCTATTAATGTCTGTCCAGCACAATTTGTTGGATCCATAGTGACGTCTTTGTCCCCCCCCCCCCCCCAAAAAAAAATAAACATTTGCTTTGTTTTGTATATGACAAAGGCGTGACAAATACAATAGAAGGGAAAAGTCAGGGGATAGATGGCAGTCTGAACTACAGGTTATATTTTAAATGTTTCCATGTGACATAGGTTTTGTTTATTTTGTTTTTGATTTGTTTTTGCCAAAAATTGTTAAAGGTCAGGTTTGGTTTTGAAGCCCCCTATGTTACCAGTATGTACCAGTCATCTGTCCACGTTCTGTGCTGTCCTATCCTTGTTCAGGCTGGGCAAGAGGCAGGAAACTGAACAGGTCATCCCAAAGCAAATTAAACTGAACGATTCAACAATGTTGTGAAATATTTATTTTTATTTTATATAGGATAATCACATTTCTTATGGCTTGCATTAAGGACACCATCTTTGTAACCCCTTTAATACATGTACCTTGTTACAAAGTGATGATGGCAGTGAGACATTTTAGCCATCATCACTTTGAGGCTGCAGTCAAATGTTTCTCCCAGTATCCTCCTTTTGTTTGACGCGATGCAGCATATAACACCTATTCAAAATGTCCATCTGGTGTGTGGGAGTTTTTCCTCCCCACTGTCGTCAAGTGCTTGCTCAAGGGGGATTTGTTGGGTTTTCTCTATGTAATAATATTGATAACAGTAAGGTCTAGACCTTACTTTGTAAAGTGTCCTGAGATGACTTTTGTTGTGATTTGGTGCTATACAAATAAAATTTGATTTGATTTGGGCTGATGTGCAGTCAACATTTAAATGCTGTTTACCTTGTGTGTGAGCCCTGTGGGTTTATGGAGTGACGTTAGCAGTTATCTCTCATTTTGCGCAGGTGACAGCAGATGTGGCCCAGTTGCTAGGGGAACAGAAGGTGGATGCCATCTTGTGTGTGGCAGGGGGATGGGCAGGAGGAAACTGTAGCTCCAAAGGTCAGAGTTAAACCTTTTTGTTTGTTGTGACATTAATCATTAGCCAGTTTCACCCTGTAGCAATTCAGTGTTATTTTTGAAGACCAACTAAATAAATTGTACTATTAAAATTGTAAAATGTTTGACTGTAAATGTATTCCTTATTTTGGAAACAGATGTGTGATAAAATAAAGGTCCATTGTGTAGCCTTTGCCTTGATTATATAATGTATTTTATGGTAACAAACAAAATTGTAGTTAAAGTGTGAGTTGAAAGTTTAAACCCTGTGGGCTTGATATCTAATTTTCTATGTGGGAAAAAAAGAAATGTACATATTTGCATTTTGGTGGTGACTTGGATGAAACAGGTTGATACCACTGTCTTGTTTGTATGTTAATTATGAAGCAACCCTGAGCAGCCAGCTAGCTTAGTTTAGCATGAAGACTGGACACAGTGGGAGAGAGTTTGCATGGCTCTGTCCAAAGATGATAAAATCGACCTACTGTACCACTGATTAACTCATCACATCTTGTTTTTTAATATGCTAAAAAGGTGAAGTGTAAAATGTCAGTTTTCTAGGCAAGCAATGACTCCAGGATGTTTGTGATCCCAGCCAAGAAATAGCCTGGTACACAAACCCTCAGGTGATGATGAGCTAGGCTATCTCTGTTTCCAGTCTGTGCTAAGCTAAGACAGTCAACGGCTCGTTGTAGCCTAATAATAGACGGAGTGGTAGTTATCATGGATAAACCACAGAATTTAAAATGAAGCTTTCCTTTATAATTATTTTCCATGTCTCAGATTTATACAAAAACGCAGATCTGATGTGGAAGCAGAGTGTATGGACTTCCACTATCTCCAGCCGCCTCGCCGCTCTGCACCTAAAACCAGATGGACTGTTGACTTTGGCCGGAGCTAAAGCAGCTCTCTCAGGCACCGGAGGTGAGGTACACAGTTGTTTACTGCTGTGGTTATGATTACCTGATTAGGCTGTGTATCATGTCAGGTTTTCAGTCAGACTTTAACTAACTGTAGACTACATTGTACACACGTTGTTGTCCAACCTGCCAGTTCAGATAATGTAGGTAATGGAAAACGCTGCAGGTTGTTGACCAGGGAATTGAAATACTGATCCGAGGGGGGCTCACACAGCTCACAACACTGAGAGGAGGAGTTGTCGATAAAATGGATCCCATAATCCAAACAGCTGGAAATAAACCGAATTGCTAATGAGGTCATCAGTTGCTGTGAGGACCCAGTGGTTGGTCTGTTTCATAAACAAAAGTAGTTACAAGAGAGTAGGTAAATATTTTACACTGATTGGGGTTTATTAAGACATGTAAAGACTCCAAAAGGCAAAAGATGGCAAAAAGGAGGGGGTAACTTTTGTGTTAATCTTATGTTTTGATTTTGGTAAACCATGGTCTGAAATAATAAATAACAAGGCAAATGCTGGATACATGCATATATATATATGTGTGTGTGTGTGTGTGTACAGTCTATCCAACCCATAGTAAAACACAGCAAATAAAATAAAAACTACAAACACTTTAAAGAGAACTGCTATTTTCAGTATGTAACAGATCATGAGTTTTACCTGCTTTTGCTTGATGTATTTTAATTTTTTTTTTTTTTTTTTTTTGGTGGAGTTCTAGTTGGAACTCAGCTTTCTTTGTTTTAGGTGGAGCAGTTTACACACATGGCTCCAAAAATAGACTTAAAGCCAAAATATGCTTCAGGTCACAGCTACACACGTAAAAAGTGAGTGATACCTGAGCCGCCACGCAGGCAGCGTAGATGACTGGATTGATCACTATAGGAGTGTATCGGCGATGCGTGTCTTAAAAGTGCAGCTGAAAGGCTTGTAGTATTAGACATGGGTTTAGTTCATTGGCACAAATTTCAGTGATCGTAATAAATATTTTCTGTTGATTGGATATAAGACCTTTACAGCCCAACGGCCATGGTGGGCTTTCGTGTGGAGCCATGTGATTTCTGTCCTCCACCTCCCTTTGTGTCCGAGCCAACCACGAAATCCAACCCTGCAGCAGTACAAAACCCTGGCTCAGCAGTCACTGCAGATCCCTCAAGCTCATTGGCTGCTGGCTTAAGAGCAGAATGACTCAGCAGTTGTGGCTGCACGCACATACACACACACACACATTATTCCCTTGGACACTGTTGAGTCCTGTGAAACACACTGCAGCTTCCATCTATTGTTCTCAGTGGAGCTGTGCTTGCATTCTGCAGGACTGACTGCTTTAGAGACGGTTTTAGACTTGAAAGAACAAGTTGCATCTTGTTTACTAGAAATCCATCTAATTAAATGCAAACCAGCAGCTGACGAAGCCCACTAGCTCTGAATCTGTAATCTGTCAGGCACAGATCACTGAAATGTCAGTTTTACTCTTAGGACTATTGTGTGACTGGTGCTCCTGACTCGTGCCTCTCTTTGAATTAGTCTTTATTTTGTTGTTAAAAATCAAGCAGGTAGGAATGTTTGTATTCAGTACGTTGTACACAATCTGCTTAATATCACAGTATGAAGACCTGAGCTGCACTTTTACCTTGCTGTTATTACAGTTTTAAGTCTCAATACGATTCCTTCCATAGATTCACTGATGTCTGTCTTTTCTCTACTAACTTAATATTGTCCACTCCCGGGTGCAGTGTGTGATGCATTTGATGTGTGTTGCCTTTGCCACACTGAATTTTCTCCAGGCCACTAAAAGAAGTGTTCTGTCTGTAATCTTCAGGTATGGTGGGCTATGGCATGGCCAAAGCTGCTGTCCACCAGCTGTGTCAGAGTCTTGCAGCAAAAAACAGTGGGATGCCAGCAGGAGCTACAGCTGTGGCTGTACTACCGTAAGTAGTGTCGTGTACAGACTTTGTCATGACGTCAGTGACTGGAGTACAGCGCTCCAATGGAACATGATGGGTGGGGCACAGGTAGAGACGTACAGTCAGGATTTTAATAGTCTTCCCACGGTCATTGAAAACCTGGAAAAGTCCATTTTTAGTCAGAATGTCCAGGCCTGGTTTATTCGGCCCATTCTTGTGAACACAATA